CTGTTACGCAAAAACCGCGATAGAGTGAAGCCGCGGAAGTCGAAGCGCGAAGTGGCAAGGGTTCACTGTATTCCAATTAGAATAGTTTTCCAAGACTCAACTGTAAAACACAAAGATTGTTGAACAGACCATTTTCCTGAAATGAAATCTTGTAAGGCACCTTCAGAATCAGTTCTGACTCAAAGCAACCCTGTGTATAAACTAAGTCCTGAGCTAGCCTTACAATTGTCACATTTGATCCTATTGTTGCAGCCACAGGGTCAGTCCATTAGGTCAAGGGGCTTTCACTTTCTCACTGTGTTAGTGCAGGGTGACTAGAGAGACAAATTCATAGACGCTCATGTATAAGAAAGAGCTTTATATAAAGAGAAAGTGTATATTAAGAAAACAGCCTACCCCAGTCCAGATCAAGTCCATAAGTCCAATACCAGTCTAAATTCCTCTTCAGACTCAAGCAACACATACAATGATGCCAAATGCAAGAGGATGATAGGCCAGTGGGTGGAAAGTCTTGTGGATCCAGTAGCAGTGGAGCATCCCAGCACTGGTGTGGGTCTCCATGTGGGTCCTCCAACTCCAGGGCACTGGCTCCATCAGTGTAGCTCCATGTGGCTTGTCAACGGGAATGTCAAGCAGAGGGTGTGTATGTCCCGCTTCCAGGGAGTAAGACAGGAGTTCCCAGAATCCTCAGGGGAAAGCTATGCCCACACAGAGGCACCATTAGCTATGACTTCATTGACAGGCGCTAACCCTTCACTCAAGTTGACAGGATATTGTGGAACTGCCACAACTGACCCTTTACCAAGCATTATTGTCCTTTTCCAGGGACTGGTCTCATTAACATGTCCAAAGTGGGTGAGATGAAGTGTCGCCGTTCTCGCTTTTAAGGACCATTCTGGCTGTACTACTTCCAGCGCAGATTTTTTGGTTCTTTTGGCAGTCCACAGTGTTTTCAATATTCTTTGCCAGCACCAGAATTCAAACGCATCGATTCTACTTTAATCTCCTTTATTCTGTGTCCAAGTTTCCCATGCATTATGAGGTGACTGAAAGTACCATAGCTTGGATCAGGCTCACTTTAGTCCTCAAAATGATATCCTTGTATTTCAACACATTGAAGAGGTCTTGTGCTGCTGACTTTCCCAATGTAATATGTTGTAGGTTTCTTGACTGCTTAGAACACTAACATATAAGATAGGATAAAGCAAAGCCACTTTAGTAGTGGGGATATCTGGGGTCCTGTCTTTTTTTAAAATCATTTTATTGGGGGCTCATACAATTCTTATCACAATCCATACATACATCAATTGTATAAAGCACATTTGGACATTCGTTACCCTCATCATTCTCAAAACATTTGCTCTCCACGTAAGCCCCGGCATCAGCTCCTCATTTTTCCCTTGCCGTCCCCGCTCCCACCTCCCTCATGAACCCTTGATAATTTATAAATTATTATTTTGTGATATCTTACTGGGGTCCTGTCTTATGTTGTCCCTCAACACCAACACTCCTCAATGGCACCTAGAGTACTGTCATAGAACCTTTATAAAGTTTTTCATTTTTCCAAACATACTGTGAAAGCAGGAATAAGACTATCTCACATCCCTGCTCTGTACCTAAAGGAATGATGGCAAAGAGTGTTGAATTTCTATGGAGTGCCTAAAATGCACACATCTCTCTTGCAGTACGACCTAATAATGCTTCTCTTGTGCCATTTAATAGTCTTCCTTTACTTTTTGGTTTGTTTTTTTTTTTGCATTTTCTGGACTCAAAAGACAGAAGGTCTGGTATCAGTTTACTTTAAAATCCACAGAGCAGTAAGGGCATTGTTTAGGCTTATTTATTCTAAGTGAACGGGATAACAGTATACAAGTGAGGACCAAGAGGAACATTGCAAAAGGCAAGGGGAAACAAGCCAAGAAGCACTAGATGGAATTGTTGAGGACCATATGCTGCCATTTGAAAAGAACAGCAGAGCAGATCATGACCACAGCAGTGAAAGGGACAATCCAGGGGTACTGGCCTTAGCAAAATATCCAGGACCACATTCAGATAGTTCACTCGAATGCTTATATAGATCACAATACAAACCAAGAATATCCAGCCTAGGGCCTGATTTTGTAATAGTTAAGGTGGTGTTGAATCCCAACTCATAGCATCCTGATGTATAACAGAACAAAACCGTTCCTAGTCCTGCACCAGCCTCACAATTATATTTGAGCTCATTTTTGCAGCCACTGTGTCAATCCGTCTCATCGAAGGTCTTCCTCTTTTTCACTGATCTACCAAGTATGATGTCCTCCAGTGACTGGTTCCTCCTAATAACAAGCCCAGAGTACCCAAGACAAAGTCTCCCCAGCCTGGCTGTGTTTCCAAGGCATATTGGAACTGGCGGTCCTTGGTAGAGTTAATATTAGCCAATAGCGTAGTTCAAAAGCTACAATGCTTTAGTCTTCCTTATTCATTACCCAGATTTTGCATGCACATGAAACAAATGAAAATACCTTGGCCTGGGTTAGGCACACCTTAGTCCTCAAAGTAACACCTTTGCTTTTTTTTTTTTCATCTTTGCTTTTTAAGGCTCGAAAGAGGCGTGCAGTAAATTTGCCCAACGTAACACATCATTTGATTTCTTAACTGCTGCATCCATGGGTGTTGATTGTGAATTCAAGTAAAATGAAAAGTTAATATTTCTGTTTTGTAATTAGCTTCCCTAAAACCAACTGTCGCTAGGCAACGACCTTTGACACATGACTCAGGAAGTAAGCCAGCAG